AAGCACTAAACTCGAAAATTTTCGCGTTTTGAATAAAGACAATCACTAAATTTAGTGCGAAAAGCACAAGTTGGCAACAGTGCAGCTAACACACAGCCAAACCGAAACCAACGCATCATCAATATGTATGAGATTTTGCCTTTCTGCACACTGGTCGACCAATCATACATGTATGCACATTAGACTGCATCACCAAAAAAAGTTGCGGTTTTTCCGCCGGGATTACAAAATTTATTATATTTTAAGACGTCCACCAAAATATTTCGGAAAAATATTAAGATTTAAGCGAGCTGGACCGATTTGAAAATACCTCCAAAAATGGAGTTTTTTATGAATAAAAATAGTTTCTTAAAGAACTTTTTGAAAAAAGTCCCCTGAGATGACAAAACAAATTAGGCTTAAAAATTCTGCATAAAAATATTTAAAAATCTTTTCAACGGAATCGCAATAATGAGATTTTTGATGCTGTTTTTTTTTTTACTTTTTTCAAAGATTGATTTACGAAAAACTTAAATAACTGGGCCAAAACTATTCTGATTTAGACTTGTTGGATCTCGGTAGAAAGGTATTTTCCCACTATTTTTATTTGTGTGCAAAAAAAGTCATTCGTCTCCCAATATATATTTTTTTCAAATACGAACACATCTTAATTCAACTTTGAATGATATTCGTTCATCCTACCTTTCTCTTTCATCTTCTGAATGAGTTTATTAGCAAAGAAATAAAAAGGGTGAGAAAATACCTTTCCAATGATGTGTCACAAGTCTAAAGCGGGAGAGTTTAGGTTCAGTTATTCAAGTTTTTCCTATACTAATTTTTGAAAAAAGTTAAAAGCAGCATCAAAAATCTCATTATTACGATTACGTTCAAAATTTTTTTTAAATTTTTAAAAAATATTTTTACGCAAATTTTTTAAGCTTAAACCGTTTTGTCATTTGAGGGGATTTTTTCAAAAAAAATCTTTAAGAAACTATTTTTATTCATAAAAAACTCCATCTTTGGAGGTATTTTCAAATCGGTCCAGCTCACTTAAATCTTAATATTTTTTCGAAATATTTTGGTGGATGTCTTAAAATATAATAGATTTTATAATTACAATGGAAAAACAGTACCGATTTTTTTTTGTATGGGGAGTGATGCAGTCTAATGCACATACTATGTTTATGCTTCTTTCTACTCGGGTCAATTCAACCCACATGCATAAACACCTTTTTGATCGAGTTAGCAAGTCTATTCGGGTGGAATATACATATGTACACATCGGTACAAATCTAGGCTCGGGTTATGCACGGGTTTAGAGTCGAGTTAAATTACAATTTTAATTAATGCTCTGAATTAATAATAATAATAATAGATTGGCGCTTACACATATGTTAGTGTTTGGCCGAGCTTCTCCTCCGATTTGTGGCGTGCGCCTTGATGTTGTCACACAAAGCGGAGGGACCTACAGTTTTACGCAGACTCCGAACGGTGATTGTATTTTTATGAGAACCTGTTTTTTCATGGCAGAAATATACTCGGAGGTTTGCCATTGCCTGCCGAGGGACGACCGCTGTTAAGAAAAAACCTTTTTTTCTATATTTTTGCGATGTTGCTTTGACCAGGGTTTGAACCCAAGCATTGTGGAGTAGAAGCGCGCACTGCTTACCACTACACCACAGCGGCCGAATTAGACGGAGCAAAAAACGATGAGTACGAGTCTCTAAATTACTTAATCGATATTATGAAATGAAAAATTCCTTCTGCGATTCAATCGTTTTATTTTATGCAACAAAAAACTAATGGTGAAAAACAGCTGATTGGCAGTTCAACTAAATAAAACAGAATTGCACTTGAAATTAAATTCGCGTTGAAAGTTTACCGAGTAGAAAAGAAGCATAAACATGATAGTAGTTTAGGGCTGCCAGACGACCTTGTTTTCCAGGATTTGTCCTGATTTAAACAAATTGACCTCGTATCCTGGTCCACATTTAAATTGTCCTGGTTTTTTAATGAAGGTCAATGCAGACACACATCTCATTTTTAGCAGATTTTTGCTTAAAAAAAGCAATATTAGTCGAAAATCGATAATGAAACTTTTTTCTAACATGTTGAACAATATCTGGTAAGTTTACTTTCTTTCCGTTTAGTTTATTCGGTTAAAATCTAACTTTGTATCTTCAGGCAAATGCCAAAAGAGTGCAAGTTCCTGAACAGGCACACGGCTGAGGGGTCACACACACTACGCAGTAGATAACTTCAGGAGTTAAAATCTCTTCCAAAGGCCTTTCTGAAAGTCATTCCTTTCTCCTTCCTTTCTTGTACGGAGTGGCACAAAATGAAGGGCTTCTGCTTTCCCTACTCAAAGAAGAGCTTCCAGAAGGGTATTTTTACCTACCTCAGTCCTTATTAGGTCTTTTATAATAGCTTCACTTCAGACAGCCTACCTAAATTATCTTTAGGTTATGGATATCTAAAATGGCAAAAATGATCACGAAGCGCATTGTAGGATACATATGTGGAAATTTGTTAATGGTGGTAAGGCAAGCATTCAAGATCACGTTAAGAGCGCCAAACATTTTTCCAAGTTACGTCATTTCAAGAGATTTCTCTTTCTTTTCTTTTATGATTCAGAACTTGGGCGTTTCATCATCATCAACCATTCAGCTCTACGGATTGTGCCACAAAAATACATTGCTTATAATATCAGAAAATACTTCAAAATAATGCAACACCAGAACCAAAGAAACTGTATAGGGAATAAGTGTCTTGGCCGCTGCTGTGTAGTGGTAATCAGTGCGCGCTTCCACTCCGCGGGACGTGGGTTCAAGCCCTGGTCAAAGCAACAACGCAAAAACATGTAGAAATACGGTTTTTTCTTAACAGCGGTCGCCCTTCGGCAGGCAATGGCAAACTTCAGAATGTATTTCTGCCATAAAAAAACAGCTTCTCATAAAAGTACAATCGCCGTTCGCAGTCGGCGTAAGACTGTAGGTCCCTCCCCTTTGCATGACAACATCAGGGCGCACGCCACAAATCGAAGGAGAAGCTCAGCCAAACACTAACATATGTATAAGCGTCAATCTATTATTATTATTAAGTGTTCTGGTCGATGGTATAAGGACTATACAGTCCTACATGTAATAGCTGCTTCGTCGTTATAATTATGACACAACGATTACACTTCCGCACAATCGGTTGTGATATTTCACTTCTTTCGGCGTTTAAATATTTACGAAGAGCAAGTATTTTCTGTTTTATTGTTGAAATTTTCACAAGAAAGTGTAAATTTAAAAATATTTCAAATTATGAACTGTGCTGCAATAATTCCAGACATAATTTTTCAATAATTTACCTCTTTGTATTTTCCTAATATGTATTTTGAGCATGCGCACGGAGGGACTTTAAAATCTATATTTAACTTTTAATTAATTACTTATTCACTTTTTAACCATTTCCACAATTTTTATGGATGAAATAATTGATTTTATTAATTTTAAATAAAACGTAAAAAAACAATGTCTGCAAAATGATTAGTAAACGACAATATCGTTTCCAACCGTTGCTGCATCTTCTACGATTTGCCGATAACGACAAGTGTGGCAGACGTTCCTTGAAATGCATGTGCGCGGGCATTCGAGGGCGAGCCGATAACGCATGTGATTGGATGAAAATGGTGCAGAAAGCCTAAGTACAGCATAATGTAAGCACACCACGCTTTTTCACAACGAAATAGAAACTGATAGTTGCGTTCCAGATGCTTCACGATTTGCAGGTTTTTACAGGAAGTCGTTCCAGGTGACCACCTCCCATAAGGTTTATTAATGGAGAAAACAGCTGTTCCTGCAAATCGTGAATTTCGTGAATATCGTGAAGCATCTGGAACGCAACTGATATATGTACCAGTGAGTACACACATGTAGTAACATGATTTTGCCAACACCGCCAAATGGTTCGCCAAATGGAATTACGAGTACATACACATACACTGAGGGAAAAAATTTTAGAATTAAAAAAAACATGCTAAATTTAACAAGTAAGAAAGTCTAAGTTCGGGCGGAGCCGAACATTAAATACCCGGCGCAAGTATTAAATATATGTTTTTTCATCTTTCCGAAACTTTCCGCTAGATGGTAAGCCGGGGTGTATCAATTTTGAGTAAATTAGCGTCCTTCAATTTCGAAATATTGAAGTTTCAAGCATTTCTAAAATTTACCCTTATATGAGAAGCGGCCGTTATTTTAGTCCGATTTCAATAATTTTCAACGTTTTGCTTATATGTGGCAAGCACAATAACCACACCGAGTTTGGTACAAATTAGTAGAACGGTTACCGATATACATATATGTGATCATAAGTGGGCGGTGCCACGCCCATTTTCCAAAATTTTACCATAAACGTATTTCTTGGTAAAGAATTGTTGCAAGCATCAATTTTGAATAAATTAGCTTCAATTATGAAAAAGAATCCGTGCAGTGAAAATGCTTCATTTCAATACGGGCGTATTTGATTTGAATATTTCTATTATACGTAGTGTATGCATAATGAAAAAATCCATTTTGTTAAGAATTTTCACTTGATTTAAAAACGAACATTTTTAAACGGTAATCAAATAAATTTTTTTTATTCTTACAACGCGTTTTTTTCTCAGTGTGCACACCACTCCTGATAATTTAATGGGCGAATATAGTATATAAAGCACCATACATAGTGCGAACTGTTGTGCCGGCACGCGGCAGCAATTATTTACATCAGTGTTGCCAAACATGGGCTTTTCCTACCAAGACTGGTAGTTTTTTATTCCATTTGGTAGGTTGGTAGGCTTGATTGGATTTTGGTAGGTTTCAGGACAATGAGTAATAGTTATTTGCGAAAAATAGAAAATATGTACGTATCTCCAAACATTTTAGCAACCATTTTTACACAAATATTTCACCGGTGCGTTTGTATAATGGCGGCCACAAACATGTAAATATACCTGATTTCTAAGTACAAACGTATACCTTATTATTGCCTGGGCGTTGACATTTGTGTACCACAAGTAAACAAAGAATAGAGCGAAAAGAAGAACGAGTTGAGACTGCCAAAGCAGTTCACTTTACAGCGAAAAACGTGTTTTAATTTTGCTAAATGCGAAAATATTGCATTTTTCACCTAATCTATTAGAGAACAGTGAATATTTTAGTGCACTCCATTGCTTTGCAATTGAG